CCCCCCCCCCACGTGACCTACCCATGTCTGATGATCCTGGACTTTAATTGGATGCACTCGATGCTATTGCTTCCCCGTTTGACATTGCTGCGTGATGCGTTACTGCCAGTCTGACCATCCAGAAGCTCATCAAGGTTGGCCTGATTCCTGTCTGTGGGGTCCATGGCCCTAGAGAAGGCACTTGCTGCCCAATTAATGCCTGATTAAAACTTTGTGTGTGGAAGCAGGTAAGCTGGTGAGGAAGACAGTGCCAGGTCAGTGGATGAGAGGGTAAGATAGATCAAGTATCAGAGTGGGATTAACCATGTCCCGGGAAGGGAGTGGATAGGTGTCAAATTGGAGTGGGTGTGAAGTTCACATTTTGGTGGGACATCTGGGTGTCCAAGAGTATGGTCAGATATCTGAGTTGTGATTGGGTGTGAGTTATCAGGTGGGTAGGAGTGGATTATGTGTGGGGGTGCTTGGATCAGATGTTTGGTGAGTGTCAGTGATTGGGGTATTATTAGTGCTATATAGTTAGGAACTGAAACCTGTTCTAACTCCTCTAAGTTTTCTTGGCTAACTATTAAGATCAGTAAGTCAGAAGCCTCTAACTCAGAGTTGGAGATCTTTTGGAAGGTTTCTGATGCTACCCACTGGAAATTTAAACTTTGTGTAAATTTCTGCCTAATCAGCGCGATGGAATTTGCAAGAGATCCGGGCCATATTTTTGACATTCATGGATGATGTCAAATTAGGAAAGAGGAATGTTTGAAGGAGGTCTTTAATAAGTGTGCAGAATGGACAAATCATTGGTTAATGCAATTCAACACAGATAAGTGTTCACATGAAGTTTGCTCAATATACAGCTAGAACCAATATAGGACACGGGATTGACCACACTAGAGAACTGCTCCAGTCATCCTTTATGAAAAGGATACAGAGGTCTTGGGAGGATGCAGACAAAATTTACAAGGTATTTATCCAATTGGCCATTGTCCACAAAGGACATGAGGTATCTTTCTACTGCTTGACAAAGAATGTACATCGAGAATATCAAGAGTATTGTAGTTGACCATGAAAATTGTATTTTGCAAAAATATGGTAAGGAATATGTATGTAAAATTGTAGAATCATACAGTAAGAAGAGGCCCTTTGGCCCATTGAGTTTGCAGAGACAAAAACTATTCTAAGTCTATATTTGTCCCACTTAGCAGCACTTGGCCCATTGCCTTGAATGTAAGTCATTTCAAGTGCTCATCCAAATAATTTTTAAAGGTTGTAAGCTTTCCCACATCAACTACCCTCACAGGCAGTGCATTCCAGATTCCTATCACCCTCTGGGTGAAATAATTCTTTCTTGAATGTCCTCTTAAACCTCCTACACTTCATCTTAAAATTATGCCACTCATTACTGATTCTTCATCTAAAGTGAACGACTGCTTTCTATCCAGCCTGTCTGTACTTCTCATAATTTTGTATACCTTTATCACGTCCTCTCTCAGCTTTTTCTGCTCAAAAGAAAATAATCTGAGGTTATCCAGCTTCTCTTCATAGCTAAACTGTTCCATTCCAGGTAATATCCCAGACTCTCTTTTCCATCTGATCTAGTCCTGAATATTCCTACACACCTTGGGTTCTCCAGGCTATTTGCTCCTACATTTTACCGTAAAGGGAACATGTTTGACTTGTACTGTGCCAAGTTCATTTTGAAAGCCCCATCCCCTTCCCCCTGCCAACACCCCCATGTCCCAGTGTTCTGCTGTAGATTTTCCCATAAGTAGCAGTTCCCATTCTACTTTAGCCTCATCCTGCCGTATTTTAATAAAATTGACTTTGCCCCAATCTAAAATCCATTTTTACAGATTATTGTTTTCCTTTTTCCAAAACAAATGGTTTTCGGGTCACTATCATTAAAATGCTGTCCCTCTGCTACCTCGAATACCCATCAGCTTCGTACCTCAGAAATAGGCCCAACACTGCACCATCTCTTGTTGGACTTTCTAACATGTTGATATAAAAAGCTCTTCTGAATATATTTCAAGAAATCTGCTCCTTATACACCCTTTATAGTATGACTATCCTAATTAGTGTCGGGCAAGTTAAATTTCCTAACATAATTACCTTATTATTGCATTTGCAAACCTCAGTGAATTGTCTATATATCTGCTCCTTCATTGCATGCTGAATGTTTCTTGGTCTATAAGGCACTCACTGCAATGTGACCATCCCCTTTTTATTTCCTCAGCTCTATCCACAAAGCCTCATTGGAAGACCCTTCGAAGATATCTTCCCTTCTTACAACAGTAACTGACCCCTTAATTTATAATGCAACATCACCTCCACAGTTACACCCTACCCCATCCTGCTTGAAGATCCTATACTCTGGAATGTTGACTTGCAGGTTCTGCCACTCCCTCACACACATCTCTGTAACAGCAACAACATCACAATTCCATATGTCAATCCATGCCTTTAACTCATCCACCTTAGCG